AAAAAAAAAAAAAAACTGATTTCTTAAGAGAGGGAATATTTGGTGGTTCACTTGCTATGGTTTAGGATGTTTTTATCAGTTTGGGATTCTGCGAAGTAATATTTACTTGATTGCACAACGACTTCAATTTTTTTTAAAGCCGAATGCTTAATAGTCTTTGTTAAGGGGACTGAGTAGATTCTTTTGCTTGGCGGTAAAATTGAAGTTAGCACGAAAATGGGTTTCTACTAAGGAAATTTCAACTTTCCATAGTTAAGACTTGGTGCTTGTAATCTTCTTTGACGTATGCATGATGTTCATTTCTAAATAAGTCTATAGACATTGAAGTGTGCCATGAGTGAGCTGTTCAGAAATATTAGTCCGGTTCAGAGGAATGGAGCAGTTTTTTGAGTTACTATTCGATTTTTTGCACTAGTTTATCTCTCTCTTAAGTAGGAGTCTGCAGTGGTTCCAGGGAAATTTTTGTCTGTCTAGGATTTTCATTACGGATAAGCTCGTGATCGTTACCCCGCTCTGAAAATGAAAAAAAAAACTGTCTGGTTTGAAGGAGATGAGCTTCTTTTCCAGTGTACTACTAGCTTTCGGAGTTCCCAAATTTCATTGAATCATGCGTACAGTAGCTGATTCTTCCACTGATAGAAAACGTTTTTTGGACCGTAATCTGCTGCTGATACTGTCTAGCTAGTCGGTCTAACATAACTGCTACGGTGCCAGTAACTCAGTAAGAACTAAAACTAGTGAGTGTGCAAGAAAGAATGTTTGCGTCTTTCCAACTAATCTAATTTGGCTAAACCTTTCATCATTTCAGTATTCTAATGATCATAGGTTCAATCCAAAATCATTTTCCTGGTTGGGTTAAAACTTCAGGTATTGCAGCAGATTCGTGTGCAAAACATAGAATTTAGCGAAATATCGATGGGCAATTTAGAAAAAAACATTTAACTTTTCTTAGCAGAACTGTTATAGTTGAATAGCTCATTCCTAGAGCATTTAGCAACTACAGGCTACTGGAAAAGAACAGCTTGAAAAAGTCAAAGCCGTTATCGAGTCGTAGCATGTTGTACCGTGCTAAGCTTTAACTCTGAAGAAGTTGCAACTGCTTCAGCAGACGCCTGTTTCCGTATTGGTGCAATTTTTAGCAAAAAACTGGGAGGGTGTTACCTTGTTAAATCATTTTTTGAATGTATTGGCTGAAGCGTAGTGAAAAGAATTCTGAGGAGATGAAATTTAATTTGTGTCTGCGGGAAGACAGTCCTATCTCATTACTTTCATCCTGGTGGCTTATTGATAATGGATATTTACCGTCATAATTTTTATGCAGAACAACTTTTTCATATTTTGCAGTACGATTTTGCTGTTGAGCATGCTGCGATAAAGGCGTATGAGGAATACAATTTACTGGCAGATCGGCCTTCAGCTTCGTCTGTTACGATGTGTACAAAAGCAACCACTTCGTCATTTGAAGCAGCATCGCTTGCAACGGTAGGAAGTCAGGAACGGCTGCGACTGTCAAACCCGCCTTCATTAAAAAAATTGTCGGGAAGAACAAAAAGTACGACCTCGTACACTTCCACGGGTTTTAATTCGACTTTGAAACCTGTGGTACTCAGTGGTATCTTAGAACCTAGTCGTGCAGCAGTAATGCCGAAGGTTACTAGTTTTCTAGTTTTTCTTTAATCAAATAAATTGTATTATAAAACGACTTAGAAACTAAATCACTGTTTCTCAGTAGGGGCGATGCAGGGTTTCAAACAGTCTTTTCAGAGCTAATGCGTAGAGCATCAGAGGTCATCTTTTAAAGAATTGACTTTAATTCGAATAAAGTCAGGGCATCTAACTGCTTAGATGGATACAGCAAGGTTGATGGTGGTTACGTAACTAAATTAGCCGAGTTATACAATCGCAGTTGGGAAGTAAGCGTATACATCTATGCAGGTGGATGTGATGGTCTGGTAAGGGGTGATGGCAAGATTTTTATTTTAAGGGAAGTGACAGGATAAAAAAAGTTGAGAAACACTGGTTTAGCAAAGTTTTTTTACTCGAGTTTTATTTCCTGAAAAAACGCGTTTTCCAGCCTAAACAGGAGACAGCCGACAATAATACAATTGAAGAATTTGAGCCGAAACCAAATTTATTTGACCTTTTGGAAATGCGAGTAATAGACGATAAATCGCTATTGGAACAGGTGTTATCTGCAAGTGTCTTGAATGTTTCAGCTTCGGACAGTAGCCGAGTGCCTTCAGCAAATGTAAATTATAATGATGGTTTGGAGCAGTCATTTATGGTTTGGTTTTTCATTCCTGGAAATTATATATTCACTTCTAATTTTTTCGCTTTATTTGTATTTCAGCAGGTACTACACTAAGAGGATGAGAGGTGATGTGAAAATGTGAGGCATATGGGAGGGGGTGGAGGGAGTTTTCCTTGAAGCATAAAGTTGCATGCGCCAATTGCAGTTTTAGAGGTTTTTCCGTAATTTGAACTCTCCATGACCATCCTTTTGAAGCAATTTCAAGAAGTTCACGTCTTTAATATTTAACTCAAAAGAAGGAAGGGCTTGTTAACATCTGTTTAGCATCGGCAAGTATGGATTATTTTTTTTTATGATTGTGGTATTCTGCGGTTCTGTTTTCAGTTTTGTTCATTCCTGTTTATTTTACAGGTTTACAGAGTTTATTGAACTAAATACTGCTCCTAATGATCTGTTTGTTGATTTCAAGCATTCAGTTACATTTATAGTTTATGATAAATAGAATTTGGAGGCTGGTGGAAACTCAAACTTTTTACTTTTTGATCTACCTTCTGCTTGATTAAGGACTTAAAACTTTTCAGTAGCTGTTTTAGTAGGAGAGAGAATTTTGCTGGCGAAGAGTAAAAGCCCAACTTTGCGAGCAGTTGGAGAAAGCGGAATCTACTGGAAAATATCCAGTTTTGTAGGACCCGTTGGGCACTTCTATTCTAGTTTTATTTTGTATGCAGCAGTACCAAATCCCTTGCGTCTGTTTCTCACAAATTTGCTGAAAAGTGCAATAACGTGCTGTTTACTATTGGTTTACTCTTTATCATCTAAATTTTTCCTTTTTGTTTCTTTTTTCGCTGAGTTTTTGGCGGAAATTTGACAG